CGGTTTAACATTAAACCAAGCTTGGCAGAACGCGCAGTTCGTCATCCAGCGGCTGAAGGTTTCTCTGGCAGTGCAATTAACATCCAGAGAGAGAAACTTTCTTCTATGTCAAGTAAGATTTCATTTTAATCTCTACCATTGGACTGAATTTTTGTTGTTTAACTTTGATTATATGTATAAGTGGTCTTTTTACTAAAACAAATTCTATAAATGGTTTAAAAAATAAGCTGTTGGATCTTCGTCATCCAGCGGCTGAAGGTTTCTCTGGCAGTGCAATTAACATCCAGAGAGAGAAACTTTCTTCTATGTCAAGTAAGATTTCATTTTAATCTCTACCATTGGACTGAATTTTTGTTGTTTAACTTTGATTATATGTATAAGTGGTCTTTTTACTAAAACAAATTCTATAAATGGTTTAAAAAATAAGCTGTTGGATCTAATTAGGGCTATGTCTAGACTGCAGGCTTCTTTTGGAAGCAGCTTTTTTCGGAAGAGATCTTCTGGAAAAATTTCTTCTGAAAGAGAGCATTGATACTGCAAAAGTGCATCGAAAAAGTGATCTTTTTTGAAAGAGAGCGTCCAGACTGAATGGACGCTCTCTCGCATGTAAGCTGTGATTACTATGAATGGATTGGTCACCAGGGCACTTCTGCTATTTCTTCTTTCCTCTTCTTCTGAAAGAACTCCCTCTTCCCAGTCCACACATGTCTTTTTGCGAAAGAAGCCATTTTACAAAACAGCTCTTTCTCATAGAATGAGGATTGCCAATGCCGGAAAAACCCCTCTGTTCTTTTGATTTTCTTGCGGAAGAATGCAATTGCGAAAGAATGCAATTGGCGGTTTTCTGACAAAACTCTGTAGTGTAGACATACCCTAGGAAATAACTACAGTGCTTCCAAAAAGTTCTTCTGTTCAGTGATAGCAGCTACATATTCTGCTTATATTTCAGAAGTCAAACTTGCTTCTTTTCTACACCATAGAATTTTGTCTTATGATTACAACTTCCACCATACTTAGCAGCACATTCTGAAGGCAGTTCTTTTTCTTTTGTGTAGTGGTAACAGCTGTTCTTTATTTCTTCTCTACTGGACAAATCCTGCAGTCCCTATTTAAGCAGAACTCCCAACAAAGTCAGTGTGTAACAAACTCTAGTGTAGACAGCACGAAAAGCTATTTCAACTTAAGCTACACAGTTGACATAGCTCAAGTTCTGTTGCTTAATTCAACTTTTGCCCTGCAGCGTAGATGTACCCTATCACAGTTCAGCTGTTCTTTGCAATCTCCAGAAGAACTCTGGGAAGAGGATTGGCAGCGTTGCCTAGTGACTGATGTGATCCGAAATCTTGATCATAATATTATAGAAGAGTTCAGGAACAAATCTATGATAGTTTGAGGTATACTGTGGCCTGATCTGCACAGTTTTTGTAATGAGTTAACGGTTTTAGTTAGAGGTGTGATTCCCCTCCGCCCCCCTCAGTATAGTTATTTGCCTAACTTCTAGGTTAGCTACAATTCTTCTGATATTTCTATACCAGTATAAATAAATTTTATTGCTATAAGCAACTTCATACCAATTTAAGTGCATCCATATTAAGTGGATTATAAATTGGATGGTTGTACCACTATATAACTAAATGGATACAAAGCTTATGTATAAACAAAGCTTGTGTTGACCATTTGAGATAAATGACATTGTATTCAGAATATTTTTGTAGTTAAATTGTGGTATTTCATAAATCAGCAGCAAAAGGAAATGGTTACATTTTTCATTTGCTTCTTTTCTTAGACCTAGGGCTCCCAGAAATCAGAAGCAAAACTGGAGTTCACTTCAAAGAAATTCAGGTGAAACAAGCGGACAGATGAACTTTTACAGTGGATTTATAAGCATGGCAGCTCCAAGCACCAAGATAAAAAGGTCTCTAACTGAACACTGGAAAAAACAAGACTTAGAAACCACAGCTTTGAAAATATTCAAGATCAACTTTATAATTCTGTCTGTCCACTGGGAGAGAAATGCCTGACTGGTTTTAGTGTCTGCTAAATCAGAGTATTTTTTCTAGTAAATGCCAAAACAAAATACAAACTAGAAATCTAGTATTTGTAGAATTGTGACAAGCTAAAACATCACAAAACAAAGCAGCATCTAAAAGTTTCCCATTGTTGGATGGCTTCAGTGGCTTGCTGTGATAGTTGCTTTTACAGCTCAGCCTCCTAGGCTTGATTACTTTGAATTGTTTTTAATATTTCAAGTTCTTTATCACTGAAATATTCCTATTTTACAGATTGTAGTGGTGCAAGATGAGTAATGACGATTTGTGGTCAACCTTGTTGAATATTGTAACGTGATGAGTTTAACTAAATAAATTGAGTTGCATTTTGTGTCCTTTTGTCCTACTGTACATTGATTTTTATATGCAGCTTTGAAATAAGTGATTACAATTAATATTTATCTCAAAAACAGGCCATTGATTATTTCCTTCATATATAAATGTACAGATTTGAAGTATTCAAAGTAACTTTCTCTTCACAGATTTTGACATTATTACATTCAAATTAAAGCCATAAAAATTGTTTCTTGCTTCAGTAAGTAACCTATTTATGCCTTTCAAAGACTGTAGTTCTATTTCAGGAGAAACATTATTTTTTCAGGGTCATATTAATTCTGTATATTTTGAAGGTAATCTTCAGAGTGAAAAATTAGAAACAAACATTTTTACTGGAATCTTAGAATCCGTGGCCACTGAACATTCCCTTAGAAATGATTCTGTGCACAGTAAGGATCTGACTAAGGAAAGAGGGAGAGGAGGGGGAAAGAACTTAATTAAAATGATTTAAATATCAATTTTTATCATGCTTTATATCAGCCTGTATGACACCTGGCTTTAAAATCTTATTTTAGCCATGTTTTGCCTTTATACTTTCAGGAAAAAAAGTTTAAAAAATTGTGGTTTTCAACTAAATGTATTCTTTACACTAAATTTGGTGGGGGTTTTTGTTTTTGGATATTACCAGAAGGATACAATATATATCCATTTAAGCAGTTAACACAGCTTTCATAAATTACAATGACAGAAGGAAATATTATGATCATCCATTCTGATCTCTATAACACAAGTCATAGAAATGGACTTATTCACATTCTTAATTTTTACATTTTTTGTTAGAAAATGATGATACATTCCTCAGTAGATGATTAATGTTCTACTTTTGATTTGTATCAAGTTCTATTTCAGTGCTCATTAGCTCGCTTCATAACAAAGTGTTAGTGTTGCTACATAATTTTACTGTATTGGCACAAGGAAATAAATAGATAAGGCATAGAAACCATACTTATGCTTAGAAGCATTACAAATACTTTCACTGCTTGTTGGGCTCTCAGAAGACATTTAGAGGTAAATTAGAGCTAAATAATATCACAAAATACTGAGAACCATGACTGGTGTCTGTAAACAAACTTTATGGGACTGCAGGAAACTTGGTCTCGTCCATAAGCAGACATCCAGCTAACTAAAATCATGCCAGACCACGGATGTTGCTGGACAAGAGAATTCAGGACTAGAGAGGTTCAGCCTCCATCTTAAATATGAAAAACTCAAACTTTTATCTGACCTGTTTTGCATTTAAAGCTAGCTGTTTTACTGAACAAAGGGAAACATCTATTACTTTCTGAATCTTTGGAAGAGGCTACTGCTGTCAAACCTGCTTAGCACTAGGGCTGTCAATTGATCTGCATTAACACCTGTGATTAAAGCAAGTCAGGATTAATGCATTAATTTTTTAAACACGTTAATCACAAGCGTTAATGCTGTGCTACCCTCTTGAAGCACTGGAGTGGTGCTTCAAAGGGGCAGTGCAATGCAGAGCCCGAGATCAGCTGCACTGCCCAGCTGATCCCCGGCTCCGGGTTACGTTGCCCCTTTGTAGTGCCAATCCGGCATTTCTAAGTAGCAGAAAGGCACGGAGCTGGGGTCAGCTGGGGACTCCAGCTGACCCAGGGCTCCCGCGGTGATTCCTCTTGGAAACACTGCACCGAGCCAGAGTCAGCTGAGGACTCCAGCTGATTCCAGGCTTCCACAGTGCTGCCCCTTTGAAATACTGCTGCAGCGTTTCAAAGGGGCAGTGCACGCGATTAATCACGAGATTAATCGCAATTACATTTTTTAATTGCTTGACAGCCCTAATTAGCACTTCAATAAATTCTGGTTCCAGGTGAAAATAGGAGCTATGTGGCACCTTGAAGACTAAAATTTATTTGGGCATAAGCTTTCACAAAAACTTATGCCCAAATAAATCTGCTTGTCCTTAAGATGCTACAGGACTCCTTGTTTTTGCTGAAACAGACTAATACACTTAACTTTCTGAAATTTGGCTCCAGGGGGTTAGCAGGTGGGTCCTAACAGTTCAGTAACCTGATTTTAAAATATTACATCAAATGTGCTATTTATTTCATTTATTTGGTTTACATGATTTTAATATTTAGAGTTGTCAATTTCAAATTTTAAATAGATTTACTTTTAAAGAAATTAAAGTTATTTAATAAAGTTTTTATTTGTTTAATTTTTAAAAAATACTTTTGTCTATTTGCACCCTGAATAGAATTTTAATTTGCTGCTTATACATTTGGAAAATAACTGGTTTTTTTAACATCATATCATCAGTTTTAGGTGGGGGACAACTTTTTTTTTTCTTCAATCTTACCTTTTGGCCTATTCAATCACTGGAATTTGGTAAAGTATTTTGTAAGTCCTTGTCCACATATAGTGTCCTTTTACTTGTGGTACTGAATAAACTTTTGTTACAAAAGTCAAAAATCTGAGTTGTCCAAAATTACATTTCATATCACAGCATAAAGTTAGTTTATCACTAAGATGTGTAATAAACTTTAGAACTGTGTTTGCCTCCTGTTTCTGAAATTTAGAACAATAATAATAGGTTTGACATGGCTTTTCTTTATTTTGACAAATGTGTTATCTTGGTTGAGACATTTTATAAATTTAACACTTATTCCAAGAACACTAAGATCACGAGGTTTTTCAGAGTACCTGTTACAGGGTATAAAAGTTGTAAGGCTTGAAATAGCTTTGCCTGGAAAGTTATAAAGAAATTCAGACACTGTATAGGTCAAGCACATTTATTTGAAGATGAAGACACAAGAGAGTTTTTTTAAGTGAAGGAGAAATAGCTTAGAGTTGAGCAGTTCTGCTTGACAATGAAATCACATTTTAGCAAACAACCTGAAATTAGTTTAGAAAACATTGATGCAGCTATGTTTTGATAGTTGCAACTACATATTTAACAGTAAATGCACATTTTACAATATTTTTCCTGACATTTTTCCCCTTCACATAGGGTAAGACTGCCATAAAGTAAATGCAACATAATTTTTGTTTACAAAGACTATTAGCGGACATATTTCTAATATAAAAGCTTCCCTTTGACTTAATTTGTATAATCTAAATGTAACATAATAAAATAATTTACCTTCCTCAGTGTCTAAAGAAGAAAAAGATTTGTCTGAGGTTCCAAATTAAGGCACAATTTTCACAAACAGATGCAGTTATACTACATATTTATAATTATTTAAAGATTTAAATACAGCAGTAGCAGTATAAGTCTTCAAGCTACTACTAAAGATTTAAAGAATAGAGTGGCAGTTGAGTCAATCCTTCAGTTTTCAATTCATAAAGTTGAACAAGCATTATCTTTCCCTGTCTGTTAAATGCCTAGATTTCTTTTACCACACAAGTCACACAACACAAGGTAACTACTGATCTCTGATTCAAAAAAGTAACCCATTGTTTATTCACAGCTAGAGAGGTTATAGTTCCTCTACAAATTAATGTTGTCTTTTTTTCTGAATTCCAACTCTAATTCCCTAAAGAGAAACAAATCCCAAATGGTGGAAGCTATAAAGTGATACCTAATTCTCTGATACCCAAATAAAGGTGTAAAGATGGCTTACAAAAGAAGGGGTAGTAGTTAGAATATCCTATTTCTCTGAGTGGCCAAAAACACACCCTTTATAGAAATTAACTTCAAACTTAAAATAAAAATAAAAATAAAAATGTTTTTCTACACTTGGTCTGGAATATGTGCTTTGGATTCCAGGAATTTCTGAGTTCTAACTTCCTCTGTAGCTTAGGGCAGATCACCACAGTCTATTTCAGTTTCTGCTTAGTAAAATGAGGACATGTCTTTAGGGATGTAAGTGACTAGTTGAGTAGTTGACTATCTGATAAGCCTAGGCCATCTCCATGGTGCAGAAGGGTTGGAAGAAGCAGGGGAGGCAGATGCACAGCAGTCTGGGACCTGACGCAAGGCGAGACTGCTGAGTCCTGGCTCGTGCTGGATCCCCTGCTGCATCTCTTCTTTTTAAATGTAATAAGAGCCAGGCAGCTCTAACTACATTTAAAAAGCAGACACACAGTGGTCTGTGACCCAGTGCCTGGCTCCTACTACATTTAAACTGTAGAGCCACAGTGAGGCCCCTTACAACTAATTGTGTACTCGATACAAATTATATCAAATACACATTTAGTCAATTACCTGCTTCTTAACATCCTTATATGCCTTACTACCTCATAGGGTTAATGTGAGGATTAATTATATTGGTTACATTTGCAAGGCATTATAAGATGAGAGGGGCTGTATCTTGTGTTATTCCTATTTTGTACAGGTTACTTAAAACACATTCAGTTATTTTTTATTGTTACCTCTTTATAACCTAACCAACATAACTTATTTCTGGGGACGATGCAGGGGAGAAGAGAAAATGAAGTTGAAGAGAACAGTGCCACTAACATGCTGATCAGGAAACACAGTAAAAGGATTTCTAATGGTATTTGATGTAAGAATAATTCTATTTGTGAACGACTGGTCTTCTCATTAGCGTAGTTGATATTATACACAATGGTTAGCTAAAATACTCATTGCCATCATTTTTTCTTTCATTTGAGTAGATACTTCTGGACATGAACTAACCGACTAAATAAAGCAATGCCCACATTTTATGTATCAGGTTCTCAATATCATATGCATTTTTACAATCTATACAAAATTAAAAAACAAAAGTTTTAATTTACATAATGTATTTCAATAATTTTCATTGAATAAGTTATTTATTACTTACAAGCTATTTATTAAAAAAATAATGTTCATAAAATATTTTAGCTCATTAAAATATAAGGGGGAGTGCTAAAAGTGAACTTATCAGAAAATATAATTTATTCTAATCTAGATATTCATCAAAATGACTTTTACTGTTCAAGCTTAAATATTTATTGTAGTAAAAGATTTTTAATTAAAAATTGAAGTATTTTGACTATATTGTCATTTAATATACACTATCACTTTTTAGAATCATATTTATCAAGTATTCGGTACAAATAAAAAGGGATGTATGAAGCTCAGCTGTATCTCAGTGGCAATTCATAAAAGCATAAATAATTTGTGTACTGATGTATTTTAAAATGTCTTAAGAATTTCACAGTTCAGGCTACCCCAGTATATTGATAATGTGCAGGTATTTCTTTATTTGCTTTACAATTTGTTCACAAAAATTTACTGAAAGATGTTTATGTTGTCTAACAACAGTATTCTCATCTTTAAAAAAAATGGCTGTCAATTATGTAAGGACATTTTTTTCTTTGGATTATCATAACTTTTTATATATAAAAATCAATTTTTCATTTTCTCATTTACATTTTGCAAAATTCAAGTAACTGTCTTTCAGGAAGAATCAACTGCCATCTTTCTGTCCTTCAACAATCAAGGTTAAATTAACGTTAACCTGCTGGATGTTACTTCTTTTAAGCACTGGGGGCGGGGGTGAAGCAATCTTATCAGAATGGGTTAAGTCGTATTCCTGTTCCTAATGGTGAGAAGGGATTCACTTTGGCCCACATCAAAGCATCATTCAGTGAAATAGCTGATTTTCCATCTTCAAGGAAAAACACAGGACCCTGTGAATGTTTAGAAAAGGGAAGAAAAAAGATAATCATGTCACCATACTTCAAGAAGCGATGCAATCTAGCAAAGTGGTCTTCAAACTTTTTTACTCATGATCCAGTTGAAGAAAATTGTTTATGCCCATCACCCAACATAATTTGACTAGAGTGTGGGCTCTGGGATGGTGCTGAGGATGAGAGCTTTGGGATGTAGGAGGGGGTTCTGGCTTTGGGCAGGAGGGCGGGGTCAGGTCTGGGGAAGGGTTTACCTTGAGTGGCTCCCAGTCAGTGATGTGTGTGTGTGTGTGTGTGAGAGAGAGAGAGAGAAAGAGAGAGAGGGAGGGAAAGCCAGAGAGCCAGGCCTGTTTCCAGCCACTTCTGGGATGCAACACAGTGTAGCCCCCCACTGGTCACCTGATCACCCTGCAGCAATGAGACTCAGTGCCTGACATTCCATGACCCAGTACTGGGTACAACCTAGTAAAACCACTACTTCACTGGAGATGAAAATGTCTAGAGAATACAACAGTAATGTATGTAATAGCTACACTCACATTAAAAAGTTATATCTGTTGTAATCAAACCCGACTAAAGTTTTCACACTCCATTTATAATGCTATTTTAATCAGTATACCGATGTGCCCTAAAATCTACAAGCCCAAATTTCAAATTCTGTCATATTACCAAACTATCTTATAGATAATTAATCATTTCTGTGTGGCTGTTGAGAATTTATTCTCTCCCATCAGCATAATTTTGACACCTTTCTGAGTAAAGTACCTCTGTTAGCGGGAGAATTTCTCTCACCAGTATAACTATGTCTACATTGGCACTAAGTTCAATATAACTTATGTCCCTCAAGGAATGTCTTTTTTACCCCTGTAGGCAATTTTATGATATATTGTAAGCACTAATGAATACAAGCCCAGGGTATCTTCAAATTGCAGCATGGTCTGGAGAAATGTACTGTGCAGAGTTGAAAGTCTCTGGATATTTCCCTATCTGTAAAAACGGCAATAATAATATGTACCACATGGGGATGTGGTGAGGAATAATATATGTTAAATACTTTGATCACAAAGGCTAATAGTCATGTTTGAATGTGTATCTTTTATATTATTAAATTATAGGGAGAGAAAGTGAATTGTCCTCTGAAGGCTCACCAATGTATGTTTTTAATTCATGTAATGATAGTGGTTGGCTGTAGAAATGCATATTATATTTCCAAAGCATTAAGGACAATCTAAAAACCTTTTAATTCTTTTAAACTCAAACCATGGTGACATTGGCAATAGGTCACACACATTAAAACAAGGAGAACACATACAAAGAGAAATTTCTTTTTCTTATACAGACTAAAACCTTTTGACCGGTCCAGTTAGGGATTTCAACTATTTTTGCTCATGACAATTTCTTTCTGTATAACTTACTGTAATTAAGGACAATTTCCTTCAAGTCAAAATGGCAGCAATAGCCATTTCAGGATACTCAAGCAAGGGAGGTTTAGGTTGGGCATTAGGAAAAACTTCCTAACGGTCAGGGTGGTTAAACACTGGAATAAATTGCCTATGGAGGTAGTGGAAACTCCATCTCTGGAGATATTTAAGAGCAGGTTAGATAGACATCTATCAGGGATAATCTTAGATAGTGCTTGGTCCAGCCGTGAGGGCAGGGGACTGGACTCAATGACCTCTTGAGGTCCCTTCCAGTTCTAGTGTTCTCTATGACCTGCCTACCATCTTCTTCCTGGGGCTGCTCCCCAGGGGCAGCTCGGGGCTGCGGAGGCCTGCAATGGCTGTTCCCCAGAACTGGGGCACCATGTGGTCATTTGTGAGTATAACTGTCCCTTCTCTCACACACCAGCTCCCTTTCCATTTGATGCAAAACAATTGAATTCCAGGTACATCCCATTGTTCTGGCACAGTCAAACCCTTACCTTGCTTTAAGTTATAATAAGAGGAAGCTGCATATCAAATTTGGTGACTCTAGCTCTTACTGTTTAGGAAGAATTCTTGAACAAATGGACTAACATGCTTATGAACAGAGAGACGCACATTTCTAAAATATACAGTAAGATTCCAAAAAGAGCATTCAGGCTCCATAAAATGGTACCTGTATCCTTAATCCTGTCAAACAAGAGATGTGAACGTCTGAGTGACTAGGAAGATTAGATCCAGTGACGTAATCTGGTCCAATCATTCCTTTAAGAGGCTCTTCTTTTATTCGTGATACCAATGTTGAATATACCATTCTCTGTGATTCAGATGGAGAGGTATATGACAGTTCATCAGTAGATCTGTGAGTAAAATACATTTCATTTTAAGCTATTTATTTTATTTGCAGTATGCCTCAGGATGCACAAAAACTATTCTTTCAAAATGAAGTACCTTAATTTTTATATAAATTGATATAATCATATTCTACAAAGAAAAAAATGGGATAAAACAATGTATTTACAATGAGCACATTTAAATTATAGTAACTTCTATTATGATAATTTTACATTTCACACGTACTTGTTGACTAAGTGAGTGCAAGCTCTCCAAGCATCTAGTTCCTCAGAGAGCTGTTCAATTTTCAGGGGAACAGAGACCTCTCGCCGTTTTAAAAGCTGACTAAAGAGAAATAAAAAGTAATTAGAATTTGAAAATAAAATATATTCCCACAGAAAAAATTAAATTAAGAAAATATACATTGTTAGACTGGAAGGAAAAATAATCTAGAAATAAACAATGTGAATCTGTTTTTAAGTATACTGTATGTTGAACTGACCATAAAATTGGATATTTTTGCTACAATGCTATAACTGAATTTAAGCATAATTAGTTTTTATATGTCTACATTTAATTATCTTGATTTAATTATCTTGAGTTTTCCTTTGATATATATTTTTTTAAGGCTGTAAATGCTTTCTTTAAAATGACAGTTATTGAATTTTATAGTATTGTGTGGCTTGGTCTGTATTCCTGATGTTTACTGAAAAGATAAATAAATATAATACCTGAGAATGATGGAGGGCTAAGTAGATCAACTGAATGTGATTTAGCACAATATCTGAAACAATTTTGTCTTGCCCGAATAGATGTCTAAATAGAATTTTTCAGAAAACTAACACTGTACCTAATTTTTACATATAAAGGTTGAAACTCTAAACTGGGACACTCTGGTCCGTAACATCCGTGGTCCAGATGGACCAGGATGTTTAAAGACCAGAGAGTCCAGGTGGAAAGCTAGAATCTAGGAGCCCTTCAGACTGGCAGGTAGCAGGAGAGCAACACACAGCAGCAGGGCTTCCCGCCAGGGCAGTGGGAACCCTAAGCGTGGTGGTAGAGCAGCCCCATAGGGCAGCGAGAGCCTGGGGCATGGAAGCAGTTGGGCTGCCCAGTGTGGCAGCAGGAAGCCAGCATGTGGAGGCCACTAGGCTGCTTGGTGTGGCAGCAGGAGCCAGGCACAGCAGCAGGGGACAGTGAGAGAGGGGAGCCAGCCAGGAGGCTGGCAATTGGACCAGGGATGGAGGGAGCCAATGGCAAAGGGACAGAAATGACCTTCCCTGGTCCAGCAAAATCCCTCATCCAGGACTAGTCAGATCCTAAGGGTGCTGGACCAGGGAGATCCAACCTGAACTAAGGCAAGAAAAGAGGGACAACTTTTCGATGTACATAGTTCCTAATTCCACATTTATGCAAGTACTTATGTTTAAGCATACGTACAGGACCATTTGACTTTACTGGAACATCTTATGCTTATATATTTTGTTGGATTGGAGTCTAAAAAGCTCAGATGGCAGATTGTGGTGGATTTTATCCATCTTGCAAGGTCATGCTAAAGAAATAAGGCTTTAAAAGGGCCTTGTTCTCCGTGGATTCTGTAAGTCCCAGAACATCTCAAAACTTGATGCTGAAGTGTCACAAAGAGGTTATTACTAACCTATTTTTCCTTAGTCTATTATATCTTCCTGTTGTTATTTCTCAAATTATTTTTAGTCAAATAAATGACAAAGTACAGTTTATAACTTATAATAAAGCAAGGAGAAAATCTAGACTACTTAAAAAAACAATCTTTTCTTTGAGGATCATGCTGGTTGACTGAGATCCACATTCTGCTTTTAGGTTGACCCTTGTACCTGTGTGATGCACCCAAGAAGCCAATGGAGCTCTGGGTAAGCACAGGAATACATCCACATGAGATCATTGCAGGAAGGGACTTTGAATTGATGAGCTTTTGGGGCCATGGATTGTCTCTTATTATGTACCATAATCCTGATTCAGGCTCCTGGATGTACTGCAGTGCAAATAGATCAATAATTAAAATTACCTTGTGTATTCATAAAGTGCAGGTACAATGCTAGCATACTCTCTTCTAATAGCAAGTAAAGCCCCAATGTAACCAGACAATATCAGCAGCTCATTCCGAACTCTAAAAAAAAAAAGATAAAAAATAGTTTAAATCGTTTGCAGAAACTTTAAACAGACTATCACTCTACTAACTAATTCAAAATCCTGTTTGATCTGTGTATTTGTGTAGGCAATGTCTGTGCTGCCTGACTGATTCCATTTCAGCTCTAACTAGATATCTGTAAACTACACTTCTTCTGCTCAACACCGAGTCCATTTACTGATTTTTATTTTTTCTTGTGCTGCAGAATAAGAAGTGCCCCACACAGATTCTGAGTGTTTTGACAGTTATTTAAAATAAAACTCAAGTACAAATTTCAGCCTTTTGTAACGACTTGAACAATCTATTACTGTCTTTCTTCTTCTTTTTTTCCTCCCCCCCATTCCCTTATTTAATCATCAATCTAGACTTTTAATACTCCAGTCATCTGAAGAAGTGGGTTTTGCCCACGAAAGCTCATGATACCATCTACATCTGAGGTGGCCAACCCGTGGTTCTCGAGCCACATGCGGCTCTTTGCTCATAGAAATGCGGCTCTTTAGGGTTACCATATGTCCATTTTTTCCCAGACATATCCTCATTTTCCTGGCTTTTTTAAAACATAAAAAATGTCTGGGATTCGGCGAGGGGGTGGCAGCACCTGCCTCCAAGGAAACGTTTGACTGTCTTTCGGAACCATGTGCTTGGACAGTTCATGGCTGCTCTGCACACGTGCCCCAGCACCTTGAGGAAAAAGCACGTGGCTGCAGCGACTCCAGTGAGACCCAGGGCGTTAATAAAAGAATCTAGGGCTGCCTGGCTCTGGGGGAGGGGTGGGTGGCTGGGATTGCTAGATGGTGGTCAGTTCAAACTGATGCGTGATTGCTGGCCCAGGGGATAATGGGAAGGGAGCCCTCCCAGGAGCAGCGAGCGTGGGGCTGTATTTCTGTACTTGTGGTGGATGGGTCAGGGGAAGAGAGGCAGCAAGGGTGAAAAGCTGCATAGCCCGATTCCCCTGCCCACCTCTCTCTCCCTTCCAATGCATGTAGCCTGCTCCTTCCCTTCCCGTCCAAGGGAGATGGCTGTTGAGAGTGCTCATCTGTCAGTGGCAAGCAGCCCCAGCCTCCTGGGGAGTGCAGGAACTAGCCGTGCAGATAGGGCAATATTTATAAAACAAAAGAATTTTTCCCCCAAGGAGCAGGGACAACCAAAGAGAAAATGGCTGTGTGGAGAAAGACGGAGAAAACATGCAAAGACACAGAGCTGTGGTGCAAGGGACACCAGTAGGAGGCTGGGGAGGAGAGTCACTGCCCTACACACTGTGGCTGCCTGGCTCTGGGGGACCTAGAAGGGCATTGGGTTAGAGCGGGGGCAGAGGGGCCTGAGGCCACCTGGTTCTGGGGAATGGGAGAGAGATTGGGTTAGAGAAGGGGGGCTGGGGATGCCTGGCTCTGGGGGAAGGAGAAGGTATTGGGTTAAAGCAGGGAGGCTGGGGGTGCCTTAGGGTTACAGCTATATAAAAATAAATATATATGTGCCTTATAGATATACATAAAAATATATAATACATGGCTCTTTGCACTACTAGCCACAGCTATTTTGTTTCTTAAGGGTATGTCTACACTAGCCCCCTAGTTCGAACTAGGGAGGCTAATGAGGGTGACCGACATTGCAAATGAAGCGCGGGATTTAAATATCCCGTGCTTCATTAGCATGTTCCCAGGCAGTCACCATTTTGGAAATTGACTAGCCCGGATGACCGCCTGCGTCTACACGCGGCAGTGAAACGGGAGTTCGAAGTAAAGCCCTAACTCGAATTAGCTGTTATTCCTCCTGGAATGAGGTTTAACAGCTAATTCGAATTAAGGGGCAGTACAATACTAATACCAGAAGAGCTGCCAGTGTGGGGCTACCCAGCAGCCCCACATTCTGCTCTTTTCCTGAAGTCTCCAGTGCAGCAGGAGGAGGAGAGAGCACACTATGCCACTCCCCACAAGTAAAATGGTATGGATTTTGGGGAGGGGCAAGAATGAGCACCGTGGGAGGGAAGGAGTTACAGGGAAGGCCATGTGACCCCACTTAGCTGGTAACACTTCCCTCTCTTCTCACCTCTTCCTCTCCTCTCTCCCCTCTCCCCATACCGGTAAGCAATAGATTTTACTTGCTTCACTGGAGTGCCTTTACAGTTGACAAATAATTCCCAGTGCAACTCTTCAGGTCTTCTCAGCTAACAAAGGCTATTGGCAGCCTATTACACCCCAGCTACTCCTACCTGAGACCACAGATGGGCCAGCAACACTTCATGATCAGCATCTTCAAAGGCAGCTGACTGTTCTAAAAGTTAGCAAGAATACCTGATCATTGTTACCACAAACGGATAATTAAATGCAAGAAGTGCAGTCTGTGTCCTAAATCCAAGTTTATACCCCCTCTGATTAGAATGTCAAGGAGTTCTGAGGAGATAGACATTGTGGCAGTGGTCATCCCACAGCATTCTCAATAAGTACACAAAACAGGGAATGCACAGGTTGTGGCTAAGGATGTTAAATTTTGATTAATCAGCTAATTGAGTCTACTCGATTAGTCGATAAGAGGGGTGCTCGCTATCTCACTGCACCTCTCCCTTTGAAATGTACAAGACTCCTATACATTTCAAAGGAATAGAGGCAGTGGGAACTGGGTTCCTAGCAGGTTCCGGTTGCCTCTCTCCCTTTGAGCTGCCTGCTGCCTGCAGCTCTCGAACATTTCAAAAGGAGAGGAGCTGCAGTCGGACCAGTGCGATCAGGACTGTTTCAATCCCCGCTGCCTTCTGCCTCTCCTACCTCCTGAGAAGATGGTGTTGGAGGGAACTGGTTCAGCAAGAGGGAGGAAGTGACTAGTCGAGTTCCTACGCAACTACCTGATAAGCATTTTGTTTATCAGGTAGCCTCAACCAGTTGTTTACATCACTAGTTGTGGCCTGAAGTTCCTCCACCATCTTCATCAACTCAGTGAAATAACCAGAGAAGATCCTGCCTCATACCTTCAAGATCCTGCTCTCCTACTACAAATGCAGACAGTTTGGCCTGAATCTGAATTTAGGACTTAACCTTCACTTCTAACATTTGAAAACACCTATTGGCTCTTAGGAAGTTTGCCTATGTTAGGGACGATGGATTAAATAATAAATATTTGTTATTTTTATTCAGATGCATCAGCTAAAAGCTATGTTGTAAAGATAGCCAAGTGATTGCTAGCAGTAGGAAAGAAGCAGATGACATGACTGTAAACAAAGTGAAAGAGTAATCTTTACACCAAGAGTGTAGATTCAATCTTATAGTCCTTGAAAATATACTCACTCACTACATTTATGCAGCACTAATCTTTCAGTGCGTATATAGCTTAGAAGGTCAAGAAAAGTGCACACTGAATCCAAAGTCCAATCTGAGCTACTAATTTGTTCTGTTGAAAAATACAAACAAAAAATTAAAATGGTAAATACCAAAGCGGAAAGAAGCCAAACAAATGTTTACATTGAGATCAGGTTCTTCCATTCATAATCCTACCTTTAATATATTGAATGCCAATGGGAAGGGCTTTTTCTGGTTCTGCACTCAACAAATAGTATTTTATGGTTTCAAATATGTCTCCTTTTGCCTGAGCTGTCTCTGCCAACTGCATACATTCATCTACCCCTGGTAGATTACACTGGAAAACAATTTTTACACAAGAAATAAATAGTTTTGTTTGAACATGCTAAGTTTCAAAAAACTTCTGCAGTTCACATAAAGCATAACTAAAACAGATTCTCTCATATATGAAGACAAGATAATTCACTTTATTTAAAAGGTAATAAAGATGTCACCTTTATTCACCTCTCAATTGAAATGGGGATGTTGTAGGAGTTTCTTTAACTTTCTAATCCTACAGGAATCTTTTTTACTGTTTCTATATTGTCCAAAATAACTGAAACTAGAGTTTTGACAAATAAAATACACAGAATTTTGCAGGACTTTAAAATATTGCATGCAGAATTTTTAATTTTTTTGCACAGAATGGCCCTAGAACATTGGTAGACTCAGTACGCCAAATGTCTGGTAAACATCAGCCTCAGCATATAAGAACTTTGTGAGAGGGTTTTCTGCGAAAATCCATTTTTTAAGAAGTGATTAGATGAGCCAATCAGGTCAAAAGTAAAGCAGTGCACAGATCCCAGAGGGTTAGCGAATGATCCCAGAGGGGAGAGGAATGAACACCATCTTGACAGTTGATGTAGTACATCGCCATCATCAGGGCTTGACAAACAATGTAATCTACTCGCCTGTGGTGAGTAGATTACACCCTGGAAGAGCTGGCGCAGAGCGCAGAACCGCGCAGTTGGCGAGCAGGGCTCGTCACCACTCAGCGAGCCCTGGCCATCGTGTTGTCTGTGAGAACGGACACACATTTCTCCCATAGCTGGGGCATAAATGTCCGACAAGCCAGCCGAACTGCCCTCGCTCCCTGACACTGATGTGCAAGGTCCTCTCTGCCCCCGACCACATACCTTGCATACGGAAATCCGCCAGGTTTGTAGATGCATCGGTCAACAGCTAGACCGTGGGGGAGGGGTGGTGGAACGGGACCCCTTCGCATACTTTGGAGTCCCTCAGACACTAGTTTAGGGTTGATAGGATCGCTGGAGGAACCGTCACCACCAGGTCGATATGGTTGAGGGCTGGCCTGGACGCCATCACCAGCCAGCTCTGGAGAGGACTGAGGTGGAGCCTGGTGGAGCGCACCACATATGTGCATGCCGCCATGTGAGCAAAAGCCTAATGCAGTTCCGTGCCATGGTCATGGGGGCAGCCTGAAGGCCACGAACGATGTCTGTGGACATGGGAGGGACACCCTGCCACACATCGTGTCCAAACATGCCCCCACAAAACCGCCTTGGATTTTTGGATCAGGAAGTAGTGGGAATAAAAGCCACTTCCCCGGAGGGACAGTGGAACCTCCTTTTCTGCCCCTAGAGAAAGTAGCATGGAGACCTCCTGCCTGAGCAGGGTCTCGTGAGAGGGATCCCTGAAAAGGGACAGGGAAGGGGGATGGGAGGGTGGGGAAGAAAGGAATGGGATAGAGTATCCCCTCTGTACCATGTCCAGTACCCAACAGTCTGTGGTGATAGCACACCAGGCCTGGTAAAAGGGGGACAGCCTCTGGCAAAAGTGACTGGAACTCCGTCCTCGGGCGCACCTTCAAAAGCCGGACATAGGCCCCTGGAGGGTCCGGGGTTCTGGTCAGGAGGACCCTGTGATCTCCTCCTATTCCCCCTGGCTGTGGGAGCCCTAGACCTTCTATTATCAAACCGCGGCCCTTGCTGATAGCCTCTTTGTAGCCTCTGGTTTAGTGGATGCTGCTGCAGGGCTGGGGTGTGGATGCCCAGGGATTTTAGGGTGGCCCTGGAGTCTTTAAGGGTGTGTAGCTCTATCAGCTCCTGGGCCGCTGAGAATGTCTGCGGCATGGATGGCTCCGGACCTCCTCCAGGGACAGGTCCCAGCCCCCTTGGGCTCCCGATCCTACCGGGCTCCTCCACTGAAGCACCGGCTCCAGGGGGCAGGTGCTCCAGTCCCGCTTCCACGGTGACCTTTCACTTCACACCCATTTACTAGTCAATGGCACCGGCGATTGAGATCGGTGCCTCGGTGCCGATCAGTGCCAGGAAGGCTCCGTGTGCCTTGGAGCCCTCTCTGTCTCTCTAGTCGGCACTGGTGCACTCCTTACCTACGGTGCTGCCTCCAGCGGAGGGGGGGGGGGTTGAAGTGCCAACTCCATTAACAGGAGCTTAAGCATTGAGTCTCCCTCCCTCTGAGTACATGGCTTAAAGAACCTGTAGATCTTGCAGGTGTTAGTTAAATGGCCCTCACCACTTCAAACAATCTTTGTGTGGATCTCTGTGGGGCATGGGTTTGGAGCACTGCTGACAGGGTTTGAAGTCATGGGGCCCCGGCATGCCCTCCTCAAGGAGGGAAGCAGGGAAACTACTATCAACACTATCTAATCACTGATAGAAATGTAGCCGTGTTAGTCTGGGGTAGTTGAAGCAAAATGCAGGACAATGTAGCACTTTAAAGACTAACAAGATGGTTTATTAGATGATGAGCTTTCGTGGGCCAGACCCACTTCCTCAGATCAAATAGTGGAAGAAAGTAGTCACAACCATATATACCAAAGGATACAATTAAAAAAAAGAACAAATATGAAAAGGACAAATCACATTGCAGAACAGAAGGAGGAGGCGGGGGGGTGGGAAGGGGGAGGAAGGAAGGTAAGTGTCTGTGAATTGATGATATTAGAGGTAGGGAGAGTGGGATGTTTGTGAGTTAATGGTATTACAGGTGATAATTGGGGAAACTGTCTTGATAATGGGTGAGAAAGTTCAAAGACTTGTTAAGTCCCTGGTGGTAAGTGTCGAATTTTAACATGAATGACAGTTCAGAGGATTCCCTTTCAAGTGCAGATGTAAAAGGTCTTTGTAGCAGAATGCAGGTGGCTAAGTCATTTAGAGAGTGTCCTTTCTGGTTAAAGTGGCAAGAAACTGTTTTCTCTTTGTGATCTTGTCTGATATCTGTTTTGTGGGCATTAATCCTTTGGCGAAGTGTCTGAGATGTTTGTCCAATGTACATAGCAGACGGACACTTTCGGCACATGATAGCATAGATTATATTTCCTTTTAACATGAATGACAGCTTTTATAGCACCCTGTGACACATTTCTTATTGTGCATAAACTGATAAAAACAAACCAACAAAACTTATGAGAGATAATAGGAAATATTATTGTGTCAAATCCATGCTAAAATGAATTTGCCTGCAATTGTTATGAATTTATCTACAAATTAAGAAACAAATTAACACACAATCTCATTTTACTCTTCAAATAATTTTTTAAAAATAAAAGCCCTTAAATGCACCTTTTCATGTAGCTCATTTATCTCTGCTGTCGATCCAGGGTAGAAAGCACACAGCTTTGCTAACTGCAGTTCATTATTGGGAGTCATCATGAGAAGATCTGCTGCTAAGTCCCTGTGCAAACAGAAGATGTGGCAGTCACTCTCAACAACCAATACATAATCATGGAGATGCAATGTCAGAGGTAGGACTGTTTTCTTTACATGTGCCTTTCCTCTTACACTGACGAAACTGCTGTTGTTGCTGGGGAAATGGAAAATGGGGATCAGTCCAGTAAGCCTACATAATTAGAGATAGAGGCTTATGAGGAGAGTACTGCCTCTTTTTGCTCTACTTCAATTCCAGGAAGTTAGCAAGGCACAAAGTTCCCAGAACTTCATGAAATCAACAACAGTCAGCACTAAAAGTGTTGTGTAATTACAAAATAGAATTTCAAACTCAAAACGGGATACATTCTCAGTCCAATGCAAATGGATTTGCTCCTTGTGGCAGTCTCACTGCTGAAAATACACTCTTTATTAAGTTTACTTTTTTAACCTCAACTCACATAAAATAACATCTAGGGAACATTTATTTAAGAACAACTGTTACTAACATAGCAACATTTTTAAACAGCTATTTTATTTAGCACCTTATAGTAGATTATCCTGGCTCTTCCTCTTTTCCCAGTGTGCTATGCCTGATCCTTGCAGCCCTACAAGCATCAAAGAGGTACCGCTCCAGGTTTGAACACTTCATTTGTAGCTCAGGGAATGTGGCGGTTAGCCATAGCATTGAGCTCTCTTCATCAGCAGAGCTATCTCTGACTGATGTTCCTGAGTGTACAATCCACACATTTGTATTGACAGTAATTTTAATTGTTCATTAATTATGCCAGGACTGACTATACAGGAAATGATACTTATGGTCAATATGGGGAAATGCACAATTTAGCTTCAAACAACTGCATAGATTGAGGTGGTTCTCCACACACATACGTTTTCACCAAACATCAAGTATATCTATAGATTGTTACCATCTGTCAAAGAGTATAGTGCATCTGCAGGTGAAGCAAGGGTGCCCTTCATTCCTAGCACTCCAACTTATATTGGAGAAAAGGGCCACTGAGGTTCAAATGTTCCTCAACTGGAGTGCAGTCTCTTCTTGCTGAATTCTGGCACTACATACTTGAATAGGAGTGGGGAGGATGACATTTCCTACTCATTATTCTGTTATTTTCTTATTAAAATGGTGTTCTTTCTTTTTCCAGCTCTAACTGATTCAGACTATTTCTAATCCCTTAAACATATGATCATAAATGTACATTCAGTTAAGAATAGAAATAGAGTTATTTCCATATTTTTATTCTTCTAGTGTGTTTACTCTTTACTAAGGGTATGTCTACACTGCAAAGTTATTTCGAAATAACAGCCATTATTTCGAGATAACTTTCTTAGTGTCAACACAGCCAAATCACTATTTTGAAATAAATTAGAAATAGCAGAGTGCTTACTTCGAATTTGGTAAAAGTCATTCTACGAGGAATAACGCCAAATTCTAAGTAGCTATTTTGAAATAAGTGCTGTGTAGACACTTATTTTGAAACTAGCCAATAGCCCGTCATAACACGGGAATTTCGGATCTCCCCTCCATGTCCGTGTCTCTCTCTCCTCCTCCTCCTTCCTCCCCCCACCACCTCTCCTCCGCCTCCTGCCTCTCTCTCCGTCTCTCTCTTTCTCTTCTCCTCCCCTCCTGCCTCTCACTCGGGGGACTGCGGAGCCCAAACAGCCATTTGGGCTCAGTGCTCCCCGTGCTGCATGGGTAGCATGGAGCCCAAACCACCGCTTGCTCCTGCGAGGCGGTCCAGCTTAGCGGCGTAGAAGTCAACCGAACGCCACAGCAGGAGGTGAAGGGAGGAGGGATGGTGACGTTCACGGCCAGGGGACGCTGTCACGCAGCATGTCACCACCCCACCCCCTTTCGCCTCCTGCCGTGGCACTCGTCTGACTTCTGCGCCGCTCAGCCAGCTGCGGCTGAGTGGCACAGAAGTCAGCCGAGCACCATGGCGGGAGGCAAAGGACATGACTCAGGCAACAGTGCCGCCCAGAGGGAACAGCCAGCATTTCAGCATTACAGAGTGACAGACATTGGGCTACTATATATATGATAGGAGGCCTCCAGCCTTCCCAGGATGCCCTGGTGGCCACTCCAGCCTCAACCAAGAACACTCCACTCCCTCCTCCCCTCCCTGGCGCCCTTAAAGAGGTAGACTCTGGCCACAGGAGCTCCAAGCCTACCATCCCAGAGCCAGCAGTCGTTGCACCTGACCCACTGGCCCCAAAACATGAGCCACTGGCAACCAGCCGTCCACCGCTCCCCAGGAGCAGTCTGCCAGCTCCCAGAAGCCTGCCAGGGCCCAGAGAAGGCAGGCGCCTTCCTGGTCCAGGGTGGAAATCATGAACCTTACTCAGGTTTGGGGGGGGATGCTCCCACCATCCATGATATCTGCACTAGACGGAGAGGAATGAGGATCTATGGCAGGATAGCTGACAGCCTGGCGACCAAAGGCCACATGCGAACCCAGGAGCAGGTTTGCATTACAATTAAGTTGGTCCAGCGAGACCCCCAACCCTGAGCCCTGAGCTTCCCCTTCCCCTTCTTCTCCTTGCTCCCCCCTTCCAGATCCCTCCTCCCAGGTTTCCCCCTCCCCTCTCCCACCCTCTCTTCTCCCCTCTCCCACCTCCTTTCCCCAGTCTCACCAGAGTTTCATTCCCTCCCCCAGTTTTGTTAAATAAAGAGAGTTTGTGTTCATGAAAATACATGTATTTTATTTTACACCAGGAAGGGAGGTTAGGGAGGGGTAAGTGGAAGGATGAGGGAGGAATGAGGCACAAGCCCCCAGTGGGACAGACCAGGGAGGCTCTTAGTGCTCCTCAGGGTGGAAGCTCTCCCGCAGGGCCTCCTGGATACTGACAGCCCCACGATGGACCTCCCGGATGGCAGCCTGCAGAAAGTGCAGCCAGACTCTCAGCAACACATCCAAGAGAAGCACCAGAGTGCCCAGGGGCAGCTCTGACTCCATGTTGCAGAGTGCTGTCGTGTCCCGAGTGAGGGCAACCAGAGCACGCAGAGACAAAATGCTTTGCTGTCCCTCATTGAGGTAGGCAAGCAAGCAGGGAAAGCTGAGAACTGGCTGTCCGGGGGGTCCCTTTAAGGACAGACCTCAGATAGCCTCAGGCAGCAGCCCCACACAGTAAGTTCTGACCTGGTGCTCTGCTGAAACTGGTTCCAGCCAGCCTTAAATGCAATTCAGAGTCCACTCAGTGTGGACGCGCTATTTTGAAATAGCAAAATGCTATTTCGAATGCATTTTGTGTGTAGATGCGTTATTTCGAAATAAATTATTTCGAAATAAGATATTTTGAAATAACACTATAGTGTAGACATACCCTAGCAGAGTTTATGTGGTCACCTGAAAATGTTACTGAATTGTTTCTTTGCAAACAACTTCTGCCCATCTATCATTCTACAAAACATATATAAAATAAATATTTCATCAGCACTAGGGGAAAAATAGAAAAAAGTATTCAGTTTAAAGCTATTTTTAGCCTAGGCTGATAGTATATGAATATCAATGGATATTTTTTAGAATCTCTCTTTAGAAACAACAAAGTACCTGTATCCAAGAGGTGGAAAGCTAAAAGGAAGATATTGAAACAGTAATGAGAAAAAAATTATTTACTAAATAAGGGACAAATTAATGAACAAAGAGCACTAGCACTCCAATAGCCAGATATATTTGGCTTTGTGAAACAGCAGCAGCAAATTATATCAATGGCTCGACTCTGTCCCCCACTGCAAAATTGATTTGAGAAGCTATTTGGAATATTAGCATGTGTCACTAAATATATAACAGCTAATTTTCCAAGATACACAGAAGTCATACTCAGAATACAATCTTTGTAGGATCCTGAAATGGCTTTCAAGATCAGTTCCCAAAAAACTGTTTCCATAATATGGCTTTGCTGGCATGTACTGGCCTAAGTATCTAGATAAAATCTATTTTTTGGAAAACTGGCACAAGTAATTTGAGACCATACATGGAAAATAGCTGTTTAAAAGAAAAGTCTCTGCCATCCTCAACTATGTTCCTGACTTTTTTCCAAGAACCAATTTTGAAAAAAATACTGTATCTAGAAAAATAGTACAGCTGAGGCCAATGAAGTAGGAGTAAGCTTTCAACAAATACATGCCATAAAGGTTCATCTAATGGAAAGAAGTGCAATTTTAGGATGCTAGTAGGTGAAGGGTAAATACCCAAACTAAGCTGACATTATCAAACACTCAATATATTTTCCTCAGTATATTTTGTTTTTTAGAGAATAACAGTGGAAGAATGTATAGTATAATGTTCCATTAATAACCTATTTCATCATCAGTTAACAAAAGATCTTCCAGTATTCTGAGAAATTCATGAACTATAGCAAAATAAAGATGTTTCAGAATAGTGAGTATTTCTAAATTTAAATTGAGTTATAGAAACGTAAAGATTTCTAATGTTAATAGAAGTTCCATATAGGTTAGAGAATCCACAATTTCTGCTTCTCATTATAGTAAGACATACATATTGCAAAAGTATATATTATTGCTATTTGAGGTATCTGAAAGGTGTGCTGAACTGTGTTGCAGCAGTCTCTGGCTAAAAATTGGTGCAACAACTTAGGTCAGAACACTGAGCTTGCAAAGACTGTACAGTGTACACACAACTGCTATCCTAGGAATATTACAAGCATTGGCTGTAGTAACTGGGATGATGTCCTTAGCTTAATGCAATGGTTTCTTCTAAGGGCCTGTCTATATGAGAAATTAGATGTGGCAAGCTGGGGCGTGAACAGGGTGTGCACTCTGATGATATGCATCAACAGCTTATTAGAGTGCTTTGAGCTAGTTCCATTTCAAAGCAGCCTAGATCAAAGAGCTCTAATGATCTGTTAAATTGAATCATTGGGGTACATACAGCAGTTTCAGGGGATAGCCAAGTTAGTCTGTACAGGATAAACTAAAAAAAACAACAAATGGTCTGGTAGCGCTCTACAGACTAACAAAACATATAGATGGATACCATCTATATGTTTTGTTAGTCTGTAGAGCGCTACCAGACCATTTGTTGTTTTTTTAGTTTATGGGGTATATACAGTTAGAACTCAGCAAGTGAGCACAGAATATATTTAAAGCCTCAGCTTTGTATCAGTCTAATTGTGTGCATGGGTAAGATACAAGAGTTACAATTGTACCATTTAATCTGTCTTCCCAATTATATCTGCAGAATTCCTGTTCAGACGTTACATAAAAGCAACTGCTTCCACAGTGATTGTGTGTATTGTGGAATAACAATCATCAGGAACAATCATCAGAATTCAACAATGCATCTATTATTGGTAAAATGTTGAATTGTATTGTAGTGTTGAAAGTGCTTGTGCCAGAACAACTCTGTCAAACTTTCTGCTGTGCTGACATGCCAAACTTGTCTTTTCAAAACAAGAGCTATAACAAATCATTTGATGCAATCAATGTTCCTGCAATGGTTTCCTTGGATAAACTAGACTTACTCTTATGTGGAAAAGAGGTCAACAAGGCTAATCCTGGTACATCTCTGTCTCGGCAATCAATCACCAACTTTGACAGAAAAACTAAAACTTAGGCCATTAGATTTTTTTTTTAAAACAGATTGATTATCCCAAGTTAATTTCTATTTCTTTAATCAAAATACAAATCCTAAAACACTGCCAACTTTTCCTACATAATCGTTTTGTTTCATTATATATTGTATTCTCTATCACAGAATGATAAGCCGTAATTGTACCGGACCACAGTAAAACCAATGCATGGAGGACAGCATAATACAGGACGTTGTGAAATTTCCATTGTATGAAACATAGGTCTGGTCTCATTCTGGGGAAAGTCAAACACCAATTCTGTGGACTCTCAATAGATTTTCATCTCTCCTACTGGTATTTCCAATGCCATATTAAATTATGCCTCTCCCGCCTAGGTCTTTATGCCTTATAGTCCTTTTAAATACCATATCATAAATTTTTATCTAAGAGGCCGTTCACTTATTAGTTATGGATAATTTTTAGCCTTACTTCCAAGTGACTTCTGCTTAGTTTCTCCATTTTAGTGACTATTTTCATTCACTTTTATGAAATTGATGCAGTTTTAATTTCTTGATTTGGGCAACTGAAGTAGATTTAACTGTTCAAACACAAGTTAAAAGTTTGATAATCATTGTGGGAACACTGCATCTGCTTACTTATTTACAATGTGTGTTTTATACATTAAAGGTATGATTCTGCTGCTCTTGCTCAGGCAAAACTCAAACGATTTTTAATAGGTTTTCCTGAATAAAGACGTTAGAATCATGGCCTCTCTCTCTTTTGGCACACTACTTCTATGCATTAAATGTTCCAAGATCTCACCATCTCTGGTATATAGTGAATGGTATCTCAATTTGTATCTCATTTCTATTAGCAGCTCTATTACAGAGCTACAAAGGATTCCAAATGATAGCTTAATTCATATTCTATGGACTTCTGTCAGTTATAACAACTTTCTGCTTTGTTAGAAAAAAAATCTTCTTTGGAGTAAGAAATTCTTACCATGTTGTTACTGTCATACATTTTCTTGCTAGTAACTCTAGAGCATAATGTGTTGCTTGCGCTGCACTTTCTCCTAAGACAGTACCCACACTGACTGCCAACTCCAGTTCATTTCCACGAATCAGGTTTGCCATGGCAAGCTTGCTCAATAAGAAAATCATATCAGTAAGTGACACAAGCACTTTTTAGGAAACACTGTGACTAGCATGTTACATCATTGGTAAGACTGCACTTTCTACAGAGTTACAAAACATGCATTAATTTAAAAGCCTAAAACTTAAGTTCTGCTGTTCAGAGGACTCAGTAATAGTCTACCACATATCTATTATCTTTTAAGGAACAAAACTGCTCTCCTTTGACCCAAAGTCTAACATCATCCTTTGTCCTGCCAAATGGTCTAAAAAACAAATATAAATGAACATTGTTTCAGTGGAATCCACTGTTGTCAGTTCCCAGCACAGATTGCAGGGCCTGCAAAAGCCATTCTGCCCTCTGTTCCTGAGCCCAGGAGACTTAAGATTGGAGGTATGAGTTTCCCCAGTCTCATCCCACCTTCTCCTTGGGGTAAAGAGCAATGCCAGCAAGGACTGGAGAGGACAGAAGAGGCCACAAGACCTTTAAAGACTTCTAGTTCCCTTGTAACTCAGGCACCAGCTCATTGTCTGCCTTCTCTCCTCATCTCCCACTCTCCTGGAATCTATTTCTGTGGCGAGGGCAGAGTGGAAAAAGGACACCATGTGACAGCAAGAGGACAAACTGAGAGTGAGAGAGAGATGATGGTGATGGTCTGAAGCAAGGTAAATAAAAAAAGTAATTAACAAGAAATGCATTTTTAACATTTTGGCTACATCTACACTGCAGGCTTCTTGCACAAGAACTGTTTTGCGCAATAGTTCTTGCGCAAAAGGTCTTGCACAAGAGGGCATCCACACTGCCATGTGCTTTTGTGGAAGAGATGTGCTTTTGCGCAAGAGTACCCATGGCAGTGTGGGTGCTCTATTGAACAAGAAAGCTCTGATGGCCATTTTAGCCATAGGGATTTCTTGCACAAGACACCCCTGTTGCCCAGCCACACTGCCTTCTTGTGCAAGAGCACTTGCGCAAAAGGGCTTATTCCTCGTGGGGAGAGGAATAACTCCTGTGCAAGAAGCCCTCTGTTCCGATGCTTTACTGTAAATATACTTATGCAAGAATGCATGTGCAGTGTAGACACTCCGCAAGTTTCTGCGCAAGAACAGCCGTTCTTGAGCAAAAAGCCTGCTGTGTAGACGTAGCCCTTGTGTATATGTTGTCTTTCTATTACTATTTGCCTGTCTTGCCTATTTAGAGTGCAAGTCCTGTATTTCCCTATGTGTTTTCATGCCAGGTAGCACAATAAGATCCCTATTCTTATTAGGGCAACACAGCAATACAAATAATACACTAATATTTCTATTTTCCTATATTTAGAGCTTGTATTTATTCATATAATAGTATATAAAATAATTTCTTTCTGTGCTTAAAAGTGATATCCTGGCCCCAGTGAAGTTAATGGGAGGTCTATCATTGACTTTTATGGGGTCAGGATTTCACTCTATTTATCAATGAGAAGGAATAAAAAGACATAAGTGTAATCTATGTAATCTATGTTTTAGAAAATATACTACAACTATCAATATAAAAAATAACCTACTATTGATCTTTTCATCTGTAAAGAAAAAAACAAAAATTTACCTCAATATTCTCAACACCTAGATAGCAACACGCTGCAAGAACTGCACGGCCATCCTGGAAATACCACTCTGCCAGTTCTTTACTGACCCTGTGGAGGAGTCTGTAAGAGCAAAACAAGAATTCTGCAAGAACACTTCTAAAGTTTATAACTAAACCAACTGCAGTCTTTATAAGTAAGGGTATCAAATGCAGCTGAACACACTAACAAGTAAACTAGAGATGTTACTGACCCATTCTGTTGTAAATTACAGGCAGTCCCCAGGTTACGTACAAGATAGGGACTGTAGGTTTGTTCTTAAGTTGAATCTGTATGTAAGTCAGAACTGGCGTCAGCCGCTGCTGAAACTGATCAGTTTCAACAGTGGCTGAATCTGAACGCCAGTTCTGACTTACATACGGATTCAACTTAAGAAACCCAGGCGTCCCCAAGTCAGCTGCTGCTGAAACTGATCAGCGGCTGATTCCAGGAAGCAACTCTGCCTCGGGCTTCCTGTAGTCAGCCCCTGGTCA